TTTTTATTCTGAAATGACCAAGGGGTATGTACACTTGTAATGTAGAATAGTAACATGTACTCACAAAACTGATAAATCAAACGCATGTACACACATGTAGTTATCGGTATGTATTACACTATGCAGTATTCATATCAAGAACAATACATTTTCTCTTGATTGTAAATTTGACAGGTGCAAATCTCAATTAGAAATGTACATAATCTGTTATCCATATACCTGTATTGTTATCCCAACAAACGAAGTTCGGTAGGGATATAGTGAAGCCCTCCGTCCGTCCGTCAGTCAGTCAGTCCGTCCGTCCATCCATCTGTCTGTCCGTCCGGAAGATAACTCAAATACTAGTTGACGGATTTTCTTCATATTTAGCGGAAAGATGTATATTGGTGAATAGTTTTACACAAGATGACCGCTGCTTTAAAAATGACGGGAGTTTTTCGCAAAAATCATAAAATTAATCTAAACCAAAGTAATCAATATTATTGTTTGAAATTTTGGTAGTATATTCACAACATTTATCTGTTTCACATATATTCCGTGTTTTTCATCCTGACCCCCAGGGGCCGTGTATGGGGGGTCAGGAAAACATAAATTTTCGCAAATTTTTAGATCTTTCTGAACTATACCTTTATTATACTCAAATGAAAGGCAATTAAGAGTAGATTGCAAATATTGTATCTTTTTTCTGATTCGAGCCTCGTGAAATTCAAAATGGCCGTCTAATGTACGATTTCGCAATAATTTTTCGATCCCTTCAAAGTATGGCTATATTAGCACAGGATTTCATTCTGTGTTTTCATTAACTAATACTCAAATTGAAGGCATTTTGGAGTAGATCATCATTATGGTATTGTTTTTCAGATTTGTACCTCAGAAAATTCAAAATGGCTGCTTTGCAAGAATTTGCAATTCTAAAATCTAAATTTTTCAATTTTAACCAAAATAATGAGTATAATTGATTGGAATTTGGTAATTGATATTTTGTTTGTTGGGATTTGCTACTCCGCGGAGTTGCTGTTATCTAGTTAAATACCATTATATCTAATAATGTAACTTAGGTGGGACTTACGTAATAATACCAACATCAAATCTCATACATAGTTAAACGTATCTAATCCAAAAACAGTTACCAGCAAAATGTGTTTGATGTATAAACTGTAAAGCGCTTTAAATCTGTGGCACCTATTTTCCGCAAATGTGCCACCGCAGAGTAATCTGTGACACTTTGAATTTGTGTATTACACTACAGTTAATTCACAGGATTACCTAATTATTGTTTTTATTCCTGACCCTCTGAATTCTTACTCTTTTCACGTGCATTAAATTTTTGCGATGTTTTGTCACTCTCAAAAAGACAGAAATTGAGTGCATTTGAATTTTAAGTGTTTTGCAGTATGCAACATACATGTATATAAGTTTGATAACATTTGAGCCAGGCCACAGGAAAAGGGGTCTTATCACAGATTTTTTCAATTTTCTGATTTTTTGTTTATCCTAAAAAGCACAAAGAAACCTTTCAAATGAGCCATGGCTTATGTCCTAACAATTTCTCCTTGCATATATAGACCAAAAAGTCGGATCTGAATTTTACACATTTTCCTCTTAATCGTGGGTACATTTTTGGCTCTGTAGCACAATTTTAATTTTTGTGATAAGACCGGTTTTCCTATGGCCAGGCTCATTTATAGATTTTTCAACATGGGAATCAATGAAGAACAGGATTAAAAAGGTGTTCATATTGAGAGGTGTACAGATTAGTTCAGTGTTCAGAATTTGGAGAACCTGAGATTAGTTTAATTAGATTACTTTAGATACCCAAGTTTTACTGTAACTTTATTGTTTCCTTCCAGATGGTGTTTTCCGAGGAACAAAGTTGTTAAACCTAAAAGCAATCAGCGATGGAGCAATCAAAATCTGTGAGAGCAAGTAAGACCAACATTTGATCTGAAACAATATATAAATCACACCGATTGTAAATCAGACATGCTAACCTAAAATCAATATCATAATTGGATTGCCTGTTAGGCGCCATCTCATATGTGTTGCAATAAGGTTTATATGTGAACAGTTAGATTAAATGCGAAGGACTGTTTTGTTGACTAATTAATGGTGCAAAAATTATTTTAGAAAACAAAGATTTTATGCCCTTCTAATAAGTTGTTTCATCATTAAACTGGATGAGTGGCCCAGTTAATGTCACTATAAAATAAGTATGGGATTGAAACAAATCCACTGGCAGTGTCCTCCCCAGGATCTTTTGGGGTGTAAAATTCTCATTTTCACAACATATGTCTATTTTTCTCATTTTCAACCGGGTCCAAAGGAATTTTCATGTTGATGTCTGCCTCTTCAAAATCATTTGCTTTTAATTTAATCCAAGTACAGGAGATTATTGGAACCAAGAAGTATTACAGAATGAGATTAATCAGAATTCTTAAATATTTATTTATGTCTAAGTCAGAAAAAAGAATAAATTGAGAGTCAATTTTCTGAATATGTTATGGTAACCTCCATTCCCTTATATGTTATTTGGAGTGTCAATTAACTGATATAAATCTACAGTATGATATTTGATAGCAGTACTTGGAAAATATGAGGCATCTGTTGGAAACTCACAGCTTGTATTACCATTGCTTTGAAATGCATTTAAAACATTATTATATTATACATGTATAATGTAGCAGGCTTGTAGCCAGGTTTTGCCAAGGGGGGCCACTTTTTGAAAATTTATGGCCGGGGGGGGGGGGTCGCTGGAACCTCCCTGGGTATGGGCCTGATGTAGAGAACTTTTCAATAGAGTAATTTTGACTCTATGAACGTTGAACGTGGCAATGCGATGAACAGTGACAAGGTCAATATATTGTTTAATATGCATACATCAAAAAAAAAGAAAAAAATACATTAAAGTGATAAATCACTTTTGTGAGAATATATTGATATTCAATAGCAACATTTCTTTTATCTTGTGGATGTCTTGAATGTAATAAGTAATGTTTTTGGGCCAACTGAGAAATATTGACCCATTCCTCAAGATTTACTGTATGTTTCAAATCTATATTTGCAGTAACCACACAGTGACCACATGTTTTGTGGTGCGCCATCTTTCCTCCAACCATTCCACTAACAATGTAGATGTTTCTACATCCCCTGCCAGTAAGCGGCCTTGCACATCTTTCTCAGTAAGTAGCTATTGGTGGAAACACAGAACTATAAGTTGCTTTAATTTGATGGCCGTTATAATTTGGCGGGTTGATGACAACTGCCAAAAATTAAGACTCTGTCAATTTTTAAAATAAATCCTTCCTGGGCGAAGATTTTTCATTCAATGACTTATCCTTGTGTGACCTTGCAGGAAAAATTATTTGAGAAACCTAAAATCCCAATATTGAACTATTTTCTAAAATCTACAGATTCACTGCTGGTTCATACAAAAAATTCTGATACCTTGTGAGACAAAATAGCACTTTTGGTAGCGAGCTCTAAAGTAAGGGTATTGAGGATGATCTCGCATACGGCAACTTTCTTGTTATGGAGATTGGTTTTTGAAAAAACTCAGCTTAGAAGAGCATAATTTGCATCTTCATATGAACCCTTCAATATCCACATTTTATTGATGGGTAAATCTGCCAAATGAAAGCGCAGCCAAAATTTCATAATTTTCCCAATCTGGCCCATTCTGCCAAATTGAATAGCACCTAATCAAAGCATCTTACAGGATCTGAAAGTGAACTAGCTCATGTTTTTGGTCCTGTATTTCATCCCTCAGTTGATCCCCTCACAATAGGCATTAGAGGTTGTTGTTTCATGCACAGTTAATTTCAATTATTGTTAAAATATTTATTCTGTAACCTGATTTCAACTGAAGTTATATAGTAAGACAGATATTATGAATCAAAGAAAAGCTAGAAAGAAATTATGTGAATGAGAGTTTGGATTAATCTTTCAGTATTTGCAATTTTGTTATAAAGGTTGATTATATCGAGGGACGTGACCTGTGGTGGAATGAGGAGATGGCTAATGCCAGTGACGACTGTGAACCGGAATGGCTTGATGCGGAGGACCCTCTCTTTATGTTATACACAAGGTAAGGGTACTACAAGCTAAGTAATAGAAATACTAGGCAAGGACTTGTCTACGGGTGACATTAACCTTAAGGTTTTGTTTGATGAAAATGATGTTTGCATTAAATGAAGAGAATTTGATTTTGAAGTGTTGTTATTTGATCGACATATTTAGATTTGCATGGAAATTTATGCCAGAGTTATTGGCCAAAATGGCTGATATTGGGAGAATATCTTTCTGCAAAGAGACTCCATATATCTTCCTTAAGAAATGCTTTATTGTAACATAACATATTACATATTGTAATAATCAGAAGACAAAAATGGAACTTAATGTACACAAAGATTACACAGTCGTGTAGGTACATAGGCACATGGACATGAACTTAACCTGTTATCAGGGGATATGTCTAAATTTTGAATCAACAATACTCATTGAATGGAAGGCTAAATACCAACCAACTAAGGAAGGTGCAAAGTAGAGCTTTTGTAATTGACCTTTGAGACTACATGATTATCAAATAATTTTGCAGCTTTAGGGGTATATTGTATATTTGAACATGACTTTATTTACGCCTTCTACAAGTATAAACTGTAAACAAAGTCAACATTTCACCCATGATATATTCGCAAACAATACCCCTGGTAATATGTGTAATGTGTAACGTCATAACGGCAGGCTGTAGTAATGGCGGACCATAATGAATATTTGAAATATTTTGGTGAGTTTTCATGTTCAAATCGTAATATAGACCTCAGAGCAGGTGTAATATTGTTGAATACACCCCTTAGGGCTAGGCACAAAAGCTTTTGTACACAAAACGTTTGTGCCTAGACCTGTGGGGTGTATTCGACAATATTACCCCTGCTCTTCAGTCTATATTTCTTAATTCTTTTCTATACCCTAAATCCACCACTGGCTTTATTTATTTACAGTAAATTTTTGATTCCAGTGGATCAACAGGTAAACCCAAAGGTGTCCTCCATACAGTTGGTGGCTATATGATGTACACTGCCACGACCACCAAGTATACATTTGATATACAAGAGGATGATGTCTACTGGTGTACAGCAGATATAGGTTGGATAACAGGTCATTCTTATATAACCTATGGACCATTGTTGAATGCCTGCACAGGTGTCATGGTAGGTACATTAACATTAAGAGGTGAGAAAAAAGTTACCTACCGTATTATCTCTATTAAACGCACACTCTCTAATAAACGCACACCCGACTTTTTGTCCCAGGTTAGAAAGTCCTGTCCAGATAATATTGAGATCTGACGAAGCTCTAATAAAAAAAAACATTGTGGGCGATAATAGAGTATTTTCACCGTTGGTTAAAATAATGCATCATGATTCATGACGTCACGATTTCCCATCATGCAACGCATGCAACGTAAGAAATTTCTTCAGGTGTTCATGTAAAAAACACAATAGTGTATTTATATACTAAATTTGTCGTCTAGGAGCTCACAATTCAAGGTAAAAACATAACATAAAGCATATTCTCTCTAATAAACACACATATCTACTATATTTGATCGATTTTAGGTATAGAAGTAAATTTTCCGGGGATTTAGCTGCTTGAAACCTCTCCCCCACGGGAATTTGCTAAGCACACTGTGCGTTTAATAGAGATAATACGGTAGCTTTTTATTATAGATGGGTGGGGTACAAATATACACATTCTTGGAATTTGATTCAAGAGACCATAATTATATCATTATATGTACATTGAAAATTTACAAAATAAGTATTTTCGGTGTTTTGAAAATAATATATCATTGACCTTTATTCATTACTGAAAATATAACCGTTGGACAAATCTTTCGTCATGAACTTCAGAATACGAAATATAAAAAACATGATTTTAATAGAGTATTTTGTTTAAAAGATGGCTCCAACTTACTGTAATATATTCAGTATACAATTGCCACTCTGTCTGAGAAATATATTCATCAGTATAAAAGTGGGTGGGTTTGAACCCCACTTTGTTGGACTGACTTATTCACATCAGCCCTTAGCGTAGGATTTCATTCTGTGTTTTCATTAACCAATTTGTGTAATTTCAGTTTGAAGGTGTCCCATTCTACCCTGATGCTGGTAGATTCTGGGCTGTGTGTGACAAGTACAAAGTTACAAAGTTTTATACAGCTCCCACTGCTATAAGAGCTCTTATGAAATTTGGAGATGAACATGTGACAAAGTAAGTAAGCAGGTTCAGTTAACTTCTAAATGAGTAAGATCTCATCGAAAACCCTGCATTTGGAGGAGGAATTTTAGTATAATTTACATGAATTCCAATTTGGAGATGAAAAGTTAAGAATTTGTAAAATCCATTATTCTCTAACTGTGACGTCATTATATCCATGGTTACAAGTGACTTACAAATTCGTAACTTTACGAAGTTTCTGTTAATGCCCAGGTTCAGTTATCCTCTAAAGGAGCTAAATCTCGTATGAAACCCTTTGGAGGAGGAATTTTAGTATAATCTACATGAATTCCAATTCAAAGAGTTTTGATAAGGCATTGACATATTGTTGTTATAACAACCAATTTTAGTGATCAACATTCAATGAAAGGAATTAAATGAACACTTATGAGACTAGTGAACACCTTTTCCCAATCTCCTGGCAGTTCTGTTCATTGCATTCCTTCTTATTCTCTCTGCAGATCCTAAATTCAATGATACCAGGAATCTCGGGATCCATCAGAATTAGGAGGTTAGTATACTATGTAGTAGCTATCATCAATCAGCAGGGTTTTAGGGTAAATACTATTTATTTTACAGATACAGTAGAGAATCTCTTAAGATCCTTGGCACAGTTGGGGAACCAATCAACCCTGAGGCTTGGTTGTGGTATTACAATGTGGTGGGTGATAAACGATGTGCAATTGTAGACACCTACTGGCAAACTGAGACAGTGAGTAATAATTCTTTTATTAATCACTTTAAAACATACTTGTTGTTTCCAAGATAATTTAGCAGTTTTGAACAAGGCAAAATTAACAAGCTGTAAATTCAACAAATTTTTACAATGTTTACAATTGTACTACAAAGAAACAGTATTGTTGCTGGCTTGGTAGATGGTTGCATCTCACCAGTTATTTGCACATTCCCAAAGAACCACTTTTACAGATTGGTTAAAATGTTCAGAGATGTTTCTTGGTATGAAAATAGAGAAGTTTTTTGTGCAAGCTTGGTAAATTGTAATGTTGTAATTGTAAATTGTAATATGCTATTGTTCACTGTTTTTTTTTTATTCACAGTAAGAAATTTGTTCACTGTGTTCCTTTAAGAAAATATCCCTTTAAGAATGCTGACTAAGGTCATGGGAGTTTTCAGTGCCACAGTGAAGTAAAAACTATACATTCACTGTAGTTTATGTAGGGTCATGGTACATGATAATATTATGTGAAGTAATTGCATATTATCCTGTCATCTGATGAATAGAGGTCATTTAGTAAATTGAATTAGAATACCAATAATCCTTCATAATTTCCCTTTTCAAGTATTCATTCTTATAAAATTGTATTACAGGATTATAGTTACTAATTGGTGCCCTTGTAATGATGGATATAAAAACAACAAATTGATATATTAAACCATAAAATAATGAACCTATTTATTCATTATTAAATTAAATTGTGGTACAATGTTCACAAAGAAATTAATAAGTTTGATTAATGTAAACTATTCTCTCCTCGTTTAATTACTGCATTATCACAGATTCTCTTAATATCATTACTTCCAATGAGTTGCTATGTTAAGATGAATTGAAACATAGCCACTCGTGATGCAGGGAGGCAAAAAATCACAAAATGTATTTTCTCAGATAATGTTCCACTTCAACTGTCTTATGAAGTCCAAAGCAAAGGTTTTAAAGGCAGAATCTGATCTATAGGGGGTGACAGAATTACAAGCAACATGAATAATTGACGCACCAATCTATTCCTTACAATATCAAATACAATATCTCCCAAAAGATTCACAATACAGGGCGTTCATAAAGTTCTTGCAAAAGTACTCTAATTTTTTTGTTTCTCAATCAATCTGGCTGAAATTTTCACTCAGTATACTTACACTATTCATCCATTTGAATCTTGAATTATAACGAATAGGTCCTTGAAGAAAAAAGTAATGATTGCTATAGTAACACGAGTCAGGGGTAGGCGGAGCAGCATTGAAAAAAAGAAAAAATTAGATAAAAGATATGGGTTAGAGGTAATTTTAACATACTTTAAAGTTTCCTGGAAAATCCAAAACAAGCTAATGTTGCCATGTCAACCCTAGATGATGTCATATGATGACATCATAGTTGAAATTTCTTTGATTCATGACATCACTAACCTATAAGTGACCTATATTTGTTGATGACATTGGCCTTTGTTAAAGGCAGCATCAATTTTATCTTTGTGAAAATGGCTGCAAAATCAGCAAAAGATGATGATTTGCAATTACAAATATTCAGTAGCCTAGCATCGGGATGTATGTTTTACTGGGAAATTCAAGTAAACAAATACGTGAAGATATTCATAAGGTGTTTGGGAAGGAGGCTATGACCAAAAGAACCATTTACAAAACAGACTAAGACATTTACTGATGGTAGAACAAATGTTAAGGACAATAATGCTAGATCAGGCTGTCCAAGAACGAAATCCAATGAGGATCAGATGATGTTGATGAAAGCCATTCATACAAAGATCAATCGCAAGAAATTTTCCGGATGAGTCCCTTCATCTGTTTGAGGAATGGTAAGTAAGACAGCAGAGGTCCATGATGAGACCATGATGGACACTATTTTGAACACATTACGCTCTTGAGATACTGTTATTAAAGTAAATAGGACTAGTTAAAAACATTTTGAACGTTCAAACAAAACAGATCCTTTTTTGCCTGCTCCGCCTACCCCTGACGCATGCGACTATAGGAACCATAACTTTTTTTCCTCAAGGACCTATTGATTATAACTTAGGATCTTAATGTATGAATAGTGTAGGTATACTGAGTGAAAATTACAGCCAGATTGACTGAGATACAAAAACATTAGAGCACTTTTGCAAGAACTTTATGAACGCCCTGTATGTTATAAATTGGTGAAGTTATTAATGATTCAAAGTGCAAAAATGAGTGAAAAATGTTCTCCCAAATAATAAGAATGGTAACCATTCTTATAAAAAAATAATACATTGTTGTAAAAATCTTTATTTTTCCTGGAATAAAGTATACACCTTTGTGATTTTTAGAAAATAGACAAGACAAGGAATGACAAAAATATTCTAAAATTGATAAAAAAATTTGTTTAGCCTGCTCGCTATATCTGATTATCTCTTTAATATACAGGGTACACCAGAAGAAAGGTTAACCAAGCAAATGTACATTAATAATTAAGTCATTCAGCAATGTGGGTTTAAGGTCATTTTAACCCTTCAAGTCAAAATTAAACCTTGTTCTATGTTCTATCAATTCTACCAGTTTCATTGGTCTTTTCCAAATGGTGACAATTTTATGGCCATTTTACAAAACATGCTCAAAATGGCCATAAAATCGTCGTGACCTTTGGGAATAAAAGAACATTTGAACAAGGTTCAATTGTGCCAAATATGACTATTAACCCATGCTGGATGGCTGAGTTAATAATATTTGTTTGGGATACCTTTATTTGGCTCACCCTGTACCTCCTTTCACCTTCATATTTTGCCTCGCCTTTTAAAATTTTCCTTGCTTAATTTTTTATCCTCGCTACACCCATGGTTGAAACTTAATCAAATGCTACCATGTACCAGTTGAACAAAATTGTCTGTACAAGTGTATGGACTTATTGTCCAGAGATGTTTGACTCAGTTATACTTAACATGGAACATTTTGACCAGACATATTTTTCACAGATTTCTTTCACAGACACACAATGTTTAAGAGAATATGAGAAGATTGTGGTAAATAGATTTCTCGAATAAAAGTCTAAACAGTTATCCTGCTTCATGATAAATATTTGATGTACACCTACAAAAGCAATCATTATATTAATATGTCGCATATTTAAGTGTATTATGTGTCTATATTGACATGATTTTTATAGCTCCATAAAATTGTTATTTAATAAATCATGGATAAAAGTAGCTGGTGCTGTATCCTATTAAATCTGTTTTATCTAATAGACATTGATACTATTAATAATTGTAGTTACCACAAATACTTTTACAAAGTTTATGGGAAATTGGAGTCCAACCTTATTGTCTTTGGCGGGAAATGGGAGTCTAACCTTATTGTCTTTGACTTATTCCAAAGCAAATACTTACATTTTCCTAACCCTGAAAATTACCTCTTTTGGGCCATAAAGAAATCAATAAAGCCATACTATGTCAAATGATTTACACTCATGATTGATTGACTGTTTGTGGATTGAGTTCTTAAAGGCATGCATTTTTGCGAGACTCAGGTCGAGTTATATGGATGATAAACAAACAAGTGCATTAATTTGCCCACAATTCCTCTAGTCATGTGATAAGTTGAAAAATATCCATAGAAATAATCCAAAATGTATTGCAACTTGCAAGGCCAATGTGATCCTAAAGTACCTACATAACTAATCATTATCATGACACTCAGACATTATATTTTTTCCCCAGTGTCAATGTTTTCACAGTTTATTACAGATTTCCTTTATTAACCAATTCATCTTAAGTAAAATATTTGATATACTAATGTTCTGACTGGACAGAAAGTGATATATATTGCCTACATCTAGGTGAATAGACAACTAAGTAATAAGTAAAAACTGTATGGAGGGATGTACTATGTATGTATTATAAGTAATGACTCGCTTAGTAGGTGCTTCTGACTATCCCAACGAACGAAGTTCGTTAGGGATATAGTGAAGCCCTCCGTCCGTCCGTCCGTCCGTCCGTCCGTCCGTCCGTCCGTCCGTCCGTCCGTCCGTCCGTCGGTCCGTCAGTCCGTCCGTCAGTCAGTCAGTCAGTCCGTCCGTCTGTCCGGAAGATAACTCAAATACTAGTCAGCAGATTTTCTTCATATTTAGTGGAAAGATGTATATTGGTGAATAGTTTTATGCAAAAACAATTTTTTTCAAGATGGCCGCCGCTTTAAAAATGACGGGACTTTTTCGCAAAAATCATAAATTTTTCATTCTAAACCAAAGTAATTAATATTATTGTTTGAAATTTTGGAAGTGTATTCACAACATTTATCTATTTCACATATATTCCGTGTTTTTTATCCTGACCCCCAGGGGCCATGTATGGGGGGACAGGAAAACAGAAATTTTCGCTAATTTTTAGATCTTTCTGAAGTATAGCTTTATTATACTCAAATGAAAGGCAATTAAGAGTAGATTGCAAATATTGTATCATTTTTCTGATTCGAGCCTCGTAAAATTCAAAATGGCCGTCTAATGTACAATTTCGCAATAATTTTTCGATCCCTTCAAAGTATGGCTATATTATACTCAAATTGAAGGAATTTTGGAGTAGATCACAATTATGGTATTATTTTTCAGATTTGTACCTCAGAAAATTCAAAATGGCTGCTTTGCAGGTATTCGCAATTCTAAAATCTAATTTTTTCATTTTTAACCAAAGTAATGAGTATATTTGATTGGAATTCAGTAATTGATATTTTGTTCGTTGGGATTTGCTACTCCGCGGAGTTGCCGTTATCTAGTTGTTTTATGAGTTACACCAAAAAAATTGAGTCATATTCATTTTCCTCTTGGGATATTTTCATGTAATGCTAAATGTAAAAGTGACACGTACATTTTATTAAGGTGGGACCTGCTCCATCAACAGGATGCACGCCACTTTTACTGGATACAATAGTAATATTTTTTTACTATATCTAGTAAATGATAAATGAATGTAGTTTTTCAAACACTGAGAATATGTCAGCTAATGTTATTAGGATAATGTATTTTTTATTTACATTATGATCACTTGCAGTTTTTGTAAGATAACCAATAAATACTTTTTGCAGACAGTCTAAATCCCATCTTTAAACTCATAATACATTCTAAGTTTTTGATGTGTTTGCAATCATAAGTCTACAATGAATATTATAGGAATATCCTATGGTTTTGAAAAATATCATTTATATTCATGAGTGGATATTGATATCTTCATGAGTAAGTGCAGGAATTGTTCAAATTCAAATTATGAAAAAAAAATTTGAAAACACGAAACCATTGAATAGGACTTTTGAAACCATCGGATATCACTTTGAAACCATTGAATATCATTTTTTGGTTTGAAAGTGATATTCAATAGTTTGGGAATTTTTTTTGCTAAAATATGATATCTTGATCCACATGTCAAATATATCTTCATGTGATATTCGATCTACGATATATCCTTGTAACCATGGGATAAATGTATACATTATGTGCACACTATAAAATGTGCACATATCAAGTGAGTATATTTTAGATTTGCCACTCAATATTTCTTAGCATCCATCACTGTGGTGATATATGTATACAATAAATTGATGCACATGTAATGACCCGAGGGCACCTCCATGAATGACCAGTGCCATTGGTAATGTAACATTAGCCAGATACAAATGTGGAAGAAAGTGTGCTAAATTCACTGCTTTGTGTGGGAGTCGAATGTAAGACCATCAGATCCAAACCTTGTGTGGTTTAGTGACTGAGCTACCAAAGCTTAAACAGGGGAAGCTGTATAGTTCAACTTGAAATAGTGCAACTTGCTATTTAGGGTCATTACACACAATGACATGTTGTGTACATTAAACTGATTCACATATGGCTGTACAATTAATCAATTTTCATATGATTGTGTACAATAAACTAAATACACTTGGCAATATACAATAGATTGAATACACATGTAATGAATTGAATACATATAGTATGTGTATGTGTAAAATAAACATGTGTACATGTGACTGTACAAAAGATTGATACACATATTTCTCAAAATATGTACAAAAGACAGATGCACATTTAGTTGTGCTATTTACATATTTTGGGTGTTTGCTTTAAATGCTAAACCATGATGATTATTCTTAATCCTGTATCTCATTGTCTGAATCCACTGTATCATCTAAAATCATCATATTTTTGTCTGAATCCATTAGCTGGTCAGAGTTCATTGTCTTTTTGTCAGCTTTCATTGTCTCAACATTCAGTCTTGGATAGTAAGAAGGAAGACAATCATAGTCGGCAATGGATCTATGCGGACACTCACATATCTGGTGACCCTCGAGGGTGAGGGCACACTCACTGGGTTTCCCCTCTGCAGTTTTGCCAAGGTTGCACCTCAAATTGCATGCTGTATCTGAAAGTAAGAGTGTGCCCTACATGACAATATATCACTTTTATCCAGGATTGGAATAAAACCATGAATATTTACACTATAAATCTCAATAATTTTTACAATCAAGATTTCCAGTCTTTTCATGCATCTTTCACTACTACTTTATGTTTTGAAAATTGAATAAGCCATATAACTCTATGAAAGACATGCTTGTGATCGGTTCATGATCATATCCTGCCTGCATCTTTCATTCATAGATTTAAACAATATGCATACCTGTTTTGATTTGACATTGTATGCCTGAGTAATAGGCGTCACACCTACATATGTATGCCTCTCCTCTGTACTTGCACTCTCCACGTGAACTACATGCAGTAGACGCTGACACCATATCACAAGGATGCAGAGTTGATGCAACTAAAAATTCTAAAAAGTTCATTTGTTTGTTAGATATGTTATTGAAACATTTAGAATTGAGAACACTTGATCAAGCTACAAACAGCCTTTCAGAAGCTGAAAATTGTCTGTTTGCAAACTTTCCTTCCAAAAAAATGTTTGTGTCAAGATCTATTGATGGTACAGATTTCAGGCTCACATGTTGAGTCTTTGGAATCATCAATGTATCTGTCTATCTATCCATTATCCATCAACAATTTTGCAGACAATTGGAAAAATGCTCATTGCCTAATGCTCATATCCATTTTATGGTCTCCATACTGGTAATTTACACTATTGTTCCTTGGACTCCCAACTTTTGCCTTGTTTCAGAGAAATCTGTTTTATGTTGTTCTTCATAATATCATATCTACTGTGAGCTTGCTTCACCGTTTTTTTTTTATATGACTTCTATATAAAATATGTCAAGGATTTACAAGAAATTTTTAACCTACCTTCTAAAACTCCTGTTGTATGAGAAATATCTTTAGGAACCTGTTCGATAGTTCCCATTAATTCTGATGCTACTCTTTCTACATTTGCGAGAGCTTTCTGCAGAATTAAAAGTTGCTTGGAAAATAATGAAAGGGTTTTTGTATCCATTTTGAGGCTTTCATATACTGGAGGAAGCAACGTTCTTTGGGATTTCCCTAGCTTCTTTTCTATTTCCTTGTAGAACTTTTTACTAGCACGCTGTAACAGTATTTTTTGAATTTTAGACAATCCAGTTTAATCAATAATTTCTGAAAAAATGTTGTAATGATTTATCAAATAGGGCAATCAATAAACTAAATTTAATCTTAAAGTTTTAAACTTTCTTACCTTATATGATTTTGGTAAATCCATTGATTTATTGAGCACATTATGAATCTCATTTAAAGTCATATTTCCTATATTGTCTATAACATTTGATAATGGATTCAGTAAAGTTGTTTCGATGTTAGAATAAGGTAGTAATCTTTCCACAATGAATTGGTTATGAGCCATAGACCGCGTGTCATGGAAACTAAAGTAGCACCCTACCAGTAGCACTATATTCACCCTGCCTAAATAAAAAGTACAAGAAACATTTTAATATGATACATTTTGTTAACTAAACATGTATAACATGTCTAATAATGATATCAAACATCTTAAAAGGATTTCTATTTAAAAAAATTATTAATTTGATCCTGAACTGATTTATTGGAAAATTCAGAACTGCTATTTTTCAAAATATATATTAAAAAATGAAAAAGCTTGAGAAATTGAATCAATTGAAAAAATTAAGTACTTTTTAATTTTTCAAAAAAAAACAACATTTGAAACTGTCAAAAATCTTTTAAAAACCCTATAAAACTTTTTTGAAAAAAAAATTATTTTACCGAATTGTGATGATGTCATCCTTCTATACAGCATCTGCATATAAGTAAATACCTTGACTTTGAAATATTATAAAGTCTCGTAACATTGTAATCTAAGAGATTCCATTCAGAAACTAATCTGTTTTTTTTCACTTTATAATCTATCTTCCTTTAGAGCATCAAATTATATAAAGTCCATTCAGTTCTTCCTCTACTAAGACACAATAGGTTTTTATTGTTAATGGCTTGCATTTTATTACAGTACTGTCTAACATCATATTCTTTAGAAGTGTAGGTCGTTAGAAAACATCCGCCTTTGTGGAATATTTAATAAATATTATTCATTAATGATTTTTATTCATTAACTGTCCCAATTTAATAACAATGCAAAAATGCGTGGAACACCCAGGTGCTAATTAAAGGTTTTGTTCTTGTGATAAGCGAATGGAACATTTTAATAAAAAATACTTTTCTAATTAATTTCAATTGTTTCACATTGTGATGTAATTGCTTATACTAATCTGAAGGCTTAATGTAATAGTAGAATTATGTTATTAAATTGAGCAGTCGTGTTAAAGAAGAAATTAATTTTATCAAATAGATTATATAGGATGCTTATTTTGTATATACAGTAAAACCTTCAAACTGAACAGCTTTTCCCTATGTCTTTTTGACATTGGCGACATTGATCTCATACTTTAGAAGTGTATCTGTTAAAAAAATCCTTGAATACCTAACTGATTTTACCACGTTGTACCGTGCGCCTATTCATTTAGCAACTCAGTAGGCCCTAGTAAACTTCCTCCTGAAAAAATGAATCTCCTAGATTTGTTGAATTTTCTAGCAGAAATTGCCCCATTCCCTCTGTTCATTTTTTCCAATTACCTGGTGTGAAAGTGAACAGTGGATAGTATGGAGAAATACCACAGAATATTTTATATCATGTGACCTTTGTTTAACCAATCATAAAATGAGAAACATGGCATTGAGGTAATATACAAAATAGTACAATCAAGACTGTGTTATTGAACAATCTCCCCTTTCATATTTTATAATTATGGCAATGATGCTCAATATATACAAACCTCACTGTATCTAAAATACTCATGGTAGTTAGACATATACACAAACTACCTTCCCCATCCATGTCATAAATATTCAATACCAAACAATATTCTGTAAGAATGGTTTGTGTGTAAACAGATTAACAGTGTAGGAGTTTACTTCGTCACTTGATGCACTTGTACACAATACAAATCAAACAATGCAAAGTCAGTCAGGACGAGGTAATAAATACAAATATGTGTATGCTGGCATGTACGTCATTGGGGTATTGGAGCTGCATGCTATATCTGTTATACTCAGTTGAATTCAGTGTATACCTTGAAATATAGTTATGTCTGCAGGGGTGTCCTAATACTGGTTGAGACTCTATATGGTGTATGTTAAGAGAAATAGCAAAGAAAGAAAACAAAGAGGAACATAAAAAGAAATGGCACCTTGTAAAATCCCTTCAAGTTTATGTTAACCCCAAACATACACAAACATATACACAAAAATATACATATTTCGCGTTTCTTTTGTTATCCAAAATTTATTTATGATGTAATGATATGATATATGACATATGATGTAAAAACAAAATTATAGAATTTAGAACTTAATGCTACTCAACTCAATTTGATGCATGTTGCTCACAATAAAGATGTTTTACAGTACTCTCCTGAAGTGATACCACTGACTGTGTTTACAATATGCATGTTTTACAGTAGTGTCCAGTTTTGATCCCACTGTATTCTCATCATTGTATATTCTTCCAGGGTGGACACGTACTAACTCCATTACCAGGGGCCACAACAACCAAGCCTGGATCAGCAGTAAGCCAACTATCTCTTTGTCCTAACAATAGACAATTGAACTTTTTTTCGGTTCTTTACTACATATCTTTGTCTGTAAAAAAAGGCAAATTAAAATGTCATTAAGTCTAATTCACTGAAGTAATTTATCATTTTGAAGACACCTGTATAAAGACCTACTTAATGTAAGGTCTTCTGTTCCATGAAAACAACACTTTATTGTGGTTCTTTATGGCCAGTTGATTATTTAAGGCTTGATGTTCTCAAATTTAAAGGATTGCCAAAAATGGGGTTCGGTATGATAGTTAACAATCCACATTCAATAGTTGTGAGGAGGGAGTAAGACCAAAACAAGATTAATTGCTTCTTTCCACAAGTTTCTCATTTAAACTGAATGTTTGTATTAAACTTAGCACCCGTTTATAAGGAAAAATAATCTAAATTGTCAAATTAGACAAAGGGATTTACCAATTCTTAATCGATGACTATTCCCTGTTAAAAGCCAGAGCTCAACACGCGAGGGTGTTTCTTTAAGCAATAGAAGAAAACTGAATAATGGATGAACTTCGGAAGTATTGAATTATCTAATCATGAATGCTTATCCATTCAATTCAATCTTATTTGAAGCCTAATCCCAGGATTGTAAGTGATCTAGGTATTAGTAGGTTAAATCAACGTCATTAAGTAAAATAAGGCGCATGTTTCGTGTCTTCTTTTACTTTTATATTATGTTTGTTAATGTCTTTGCTAAATTCATGTTTGTCTTATTATTGATTTGCTGTTTAGCAGGGAACATATCAGTATCCATATTTTTGTATCAATTTAGTATGATTTGATATAAATAAAAGATTTAACTGGCTATGTCTGAAGCTAGGGATAGAAATTGATTACATTAAAAATGCTTGCAATTTGTGATATTTAGGGTGCAGTTTATGTTTTATATTCTTTGCTATCAAATAACAATGTTTCAATACTCAAATAAGTTAGCAGTGTTTGAATATGATATGAACAACCAGAGTCAGTCTTTATGTATCGAATATCGACTCCTACATTATGAGTTAATTAATTGATCATTATTACTCAGTTTTAGGATGAGAGGGAGGGGGCCATCCAAAACTCTTTTATCATAAATATTGATATTGATATGTCCCCTGCTTTGCTCTAGAAATATACAAATAAGTTCTAATTGCCTTGTAGATTGTCTGAAGAAACAAACTCAGATTATCAATAAAAACTAAACTCATTTTATTATTTTCAATTATTTCCCAAGAAAGCATGAGGCTATAGTAGACTATAGGCAAGTATTAGAAAATATCTTACAGTATGATTAATGTTCCAATTAAAATAGAAGCATGTGAAGGTGTGTTTGCACAATAGTGTTGTTTATGAATAGCCAGATGATAAAACAATACACAACAGTCAATTCTGACGTCTTAAATGTCATATCATTTTAAGAGTGTCATCTTGAAACTAATTTCATTTTTCAAGGGTGTCGTTTTGAATTTGATATCACCTCAAGAGTGTATCTTGAATGTGATGTCATTTAAATAGTGTCATTTTGATTGTGATGTCATTTCAAAAGGGTCATCATAAATATATCCATCTTGAATGTGATATAAATTCAAAAGTGTCCCTTTGAATGTGATATCATTTCAAGAGTGTCATGTTGAATGTGATATCACATAAAGAGTGTCATCTTGAATTTGATGTCATTTCAAGAGTGTCATCTTGAATGTGATATCATTTCAATAGTGTCATCTTAAATTAGTGTTGTTGCGATGTGCCATAATCATACATCGATGCATCGGCAATTTTCAGTAGTAAACATCGATGCACATCGCGATGTACATCGAGAAAAAGTCCGAGAAAAGTGCACTGAAATACCGAACGATAATGCACTAAAATACCGAACATAACAAATTAATAAGAGTACGCTGGTACATCCGGGAACTTCTACAAACGGTGAAATGAAAGTAAAGTAAATTTCTTTAGATTAATGGTTCATTTCGACTAGCTAAAAAAGTTTTAAAGCGAAAGAATATCAGAAAACATTGGAAAATGAAATAAGACATGAGAAAGGTAAGCGATTTGCATCAAAATAAAATAAGAAAGGGTGATTTTTAGCAAATTTAATTTTTTGAAAAACATCGATGTTTTGTTTCAGACATCAATGCATCGCCAGAATCAGCTTTGGCGATGTATATCGCGATGTAAAGATTAATCGCGACAACACTATCTTAAATGTGATACCATGTGATGTCATTTTAAAGGTATCACCTTGAATGTGATATATGTTCAAGAGTGTCATCTTTATTGAATGTGATATCATTTGGAGAGTACCACCTTGAATGTGATATCATTTCAAGAGTGTCATCTTGAATGTGTTATCATTTCAAGAGTGTCATCTTAAATGTGATATAATTTCAATAGTATCATCTTGAATGTGATATCATTTCAAGTATCATCTTGAATGTGATATCATTTCATGTCATAGATCACTTGTTATAATATGTTTAAACTACAGTTTGTGTTGGAGTATATGTGAATTAGATAACTTAGAATCAATTAGAAGGCAGCTTAATTAACTGTAAAATAATTGACTTTGTAGACATTTCCATTCTTTGGTATTGTTCCTGCTATTTTGAGTGAGGAGGGAAAAGAACTAGAGGGGACTGCAGAAGGTTATCTCGTAAGTTTACTTTGAGAATCAATTCACATTGACAAACATCTTACTGAAAATATCAAATAAAAACAACCGAACTGCCCAAGAGAGTAATCTTTACGAAATAAATACACCTCTATATTGTTAGATATTTATCCATCAAAAACCAAGCAGAAAGGCAAAAGCAATGTCACTGTGTTAAATACTGTATAAAATGATAAGTGATGTAATAAAGTTATAAAATTAGTATAAAATATGTATCCTTTGTATCCAAGGTGTTCAAGCAGCCATGGCCAGGTATCATGCGAACAGTGTTTGGAGACCATGAGAGATATGAGACAACATATTTCAAAAAGTTCCCAGGTTATTATACAACAGGGGATGGTAAGTCAAATTAGTAAAGTCATAAGCCACATATTAGGGGTTTCTGTCAATTTTTATAGTTCAAGTTTCCAAGTACCGGATTTTCTAGCATATAAGCCCTGGGCGTATAACTGAAAGAAGGGGTAATTTCGTCTGTTATTTTACCTCTTATTTTTCGCCCATGGGCGTATAAGTGTACTACTTTCGATTTTTGGCCCAGTGGGC